GGGGGGGGCGGTGTTATGCCGTGTGTGCATGCACCTCGCGGGACGCGCACAGCGTAAAGCAAAATCTCCCAGACATGTATTGATCTGCACGGAAGGACGGTTTGGAAACTATATCATTTCCTTTTGGAGGGCATGCATAACACGGCATAACACCAGAGCCTCGCTGCAGGGAAACGTTGGCGCTGTTCCGAGTTTGTTCTAATCTGTCAAAATGAAAGACTGCTTTCAGATTTTTCCGTCATTGTTAAATAAAATATTCGGTTAACGCGACCACTGCTGTCCCAGCAACATCAGTATCAAGCGAGAGTTTTTTCCAGAGCAGGGGATATTGTAAATGCCCAAACATCCCAGCTTATAAATACCTGGAAATGTGGACATTCTCATATTCCTAAAAACCTGTCTGATGATGCTGAGTGAGTGACTTGTGAGTTTGAGTTGAGTTACTTGAAAAACTAAAGTGAAACTTGATTTATTTTATTGCGGGGTCTGATTATTAAATGTCCTTGTTTATTTGTGAGATGCAGTGGCACAAAGAAAATGCCTACTTTGTTTGGTAGTACTAGTAGGTACAAAAACACTGGTTTTCTTGTTCCAGTCTGTTACTGTCACTTTGTTTTTGACACTTTAAAATACTGCTATCCTAGTAAAACGCTGTACAAATCCGATTTATTATTTAATAAAGAAACATTTTCCGAGTAAAATCTTTTTTTATTGAACATTTTTTTTAGATGTATTATTCAATATCGCAGTAAATACCGTACCGTGGACTTGTTATCGCGATATTATCGTACCGTGAGTTTTTGGTATCGTTACATCCCTACTAAATACACATTCCTTTTGCACTTCAGCCAGCAAATGTAGCAGTCACTGAACACAGTTGCATGCTGTAAGTGTTCCACTTTGGAAGCAAATAGGGGTTTTGATTTTTTCATATTCCCTGAATGTCCCTAATCATCTTATTCACCAACAACTAGGTCTTAGGAGGAAACATCCAATATAATATCAACATTCTTTGACAAACTGGTATACACTGAACTGCCGAAGGAACCTGGCATTAGGAAGTAGAATTTAAAAGGGCAAACATTTTTGCAATAATTGTCTAAAGGTCAGTTAAGGGAGAACGTTTTTCAGCATCTTACCTTGCTCCCTGGAAATGTCTGGCTTGTACCAGAACTTGGACGTGTCTTGGACAAACTTGACATTCAGCCTGCTCTCGGGACTGCCATCTGCAACGGAAACCAAAATAATGTCACAGAAACAAAATGAAAGAAGTAAACAGAGAAGAACTCCAAAATGTCACGTCTCTCTAAAATAAGTAATGTCCTTACCGGGCATGTTGAACCTCGAGAAGTCAGAGAGGGTGTGGAAGTAGCCGGGATTGTTTCCTCCACTCATTGGGGACATTATCTTCCCATTCAGCGTGCCGTAGGACTGCGCTCCGTTGGGTCTGTCGCCGCTCGACATGCGCCGCTTCTCTGGAAGCTGGGGCTGGAACCCTGGAGATGGGCTGCCCTGCCGGAACCCTACCCCCATCCCCATCATGCCCCCCTCCTGGTAGCCTGCGGGAGAGATTGGGAAAGAAGGCGTGGGCGGTCCCTGGTACCCCGAGGAGCTGCTTTGCCGTGACAGGTTCCCGTGCCTCTCATCTGGGGTGGTGTACCCGCTGTGCATGGGGTGACGGTCCAGACTGGGGCTCCTCTGGGAGACCTGCGATACAGACGGGTGACGCCCCAAAATTGGACTCCCTTGGGTGATGGATGGTTGTCGACTTAGCACGGGGCTACCTTGCATGGGTTGGCCAAGGGACGGCTGTCTGCCGAGGACCGGGCTCTGCTGGGACCCCTGACCCAACGAGGCCTGTCTGGTGAGGACCGGGCTGCTCTGAGCCCCCTGCGCCAGACGACCCCCCAGGATGGGACTTCCACTGAGGCCCACCATCCCCACATCGAAGCCGTTAGCCGGGGATGTTTGCTGGACTACGATGGAAGCGTCCTGATAAGGATATGAGCGCTGCTGGAGGAGGGGGTTGTAAGGGGAGCCAATGAGGACGTTCCTGTGCTGTGCATGGGGGCTTCCATGGCTGAGGGAGGGTTCTGAGGCGGGGGGGCTGGGGTCTGAGGACACGTAGCTCCCCAGTAGGGTGTTGGCGCCATGGTAGGATTGTGTAGGGGTTGCAGTGCCAAGGTAGGAAGAGGTCGGAGAGCTGGAATTCAGGTAGGAAGAGGTGGGGGTTTGGTATGAGGGGGTGAGAGTGGGGTAGGCGCTCTCTGTAGCCTGGGAGCGGAAGCCGGAATCAGTAGTGGGGTAGGACGGAGTGCTAACGCTGCTCTCTACTAAGAGGTGATCACTGCAAGGGAATGGGATATGCTTATTAAGCCAAGGAGTTTGACATTCACCAAAGTGTTCATTTAGATGCATGAATTGGCAGACATCAAACATTAAAGGAATGTATTCCTCCCAAAATGACCATTTGTCCATCAATAAATCACACAATGCTATCATGAATTCTTGAAAAAAACGTAGTTTTTCGTGCATGCCTCAAGGGTAAAGGAAGAAGCCAAAGGGTTTTAAATAGTCAGGTTTGACTGATTTCTTTTTTTTTTTGTTCCAGGGCAATATAATTCTTTTTTTAAATTTGAAGATAAATTGGGTGGGTTTGATAACTTACATACAAGTGAACATTTTGAGGAGAAGTAGACATTTAACATTATTACATCTATACCTATCTACGTCGAAAACAATATGAAAGATGTAAAAATCATATCTTTGTTTATTTTTTTTTAATAAAAATCACAACATTCTTGTCTAGCATCCATATTGCATCGAAGAGTGAACGAGCATAATGTGTCTGACTGACCTCTGTGAAATCTGGATGGGGCTGCTGCTGGACAGAGGGGGGTTCAGTGAGTGGGAGGAGGGGCTTCTCTGCTGGGCTGCAGTCTCTCCGGGGGGGCTGAGGCTCCGAGGTGACGGCTGCTCTCCGCCTGTTGATGCCGACATCGCCACAGACTCCACATAGCTTCTTGGTGCTGCGTGAGAGACAAAAAGTCTTTGTGAGCCAAAAATGACCTTTACTTCAGCTTTACTGCACTTTTATGTTATTCCCTTTAGCACTGTAGTTGGGTGACAGTGATCTTATGCCCCCCAAAAAAAGAAAAACTGTGAAAACTGAATGGCACAAGATGGAAATAATATGTTTTATGGTCTGCTGCCATGAGAGTGGTTGTGACTTTTCCAGAAAGGAAATGGAAATGGTTTTTAAAACAGTTCTACCGAGCAATACTGAGAGTAATGGGATGGAGGAGATTCAAACGTTGAATGTGGATGATGATCTGTGGCATTAGAGCAGCATCTTACCTTCCTCCCCCTCACTGCTCTCATCATCTGTGGGGCATCGTTTGAGATAATCCAGAAAAATAGAGTAATTTAAAGGAACAGCTACAGCAAGGGAGTCCGAAATGTATCTCTGCTATAATGGTTCTTTTTGATTAGTAGTTAGACCCTCCAGAAAAACGCGATTCTGCGATCGCAGAATTTACCGCATAATCAGCAAAATGGCGCAGATTTTTAAAAGGCCACATATTTATCAAAAGGCCGCATAATCCCCGCATTTTTCCACACAAAGTTGAGAAAAAAAAAAGTTGACTCGTCTTGACGTGACGTCATCAACTCGCGCATCACAGAATGTAAACAACACTGTATAGAGTGAACATGTGGAGCTCATACGATAGAGAAAACACCAAGATGAAAAAATCTAATCCATCTCATTTACCGACGAACATTTCTACTAAAGACCGGGCAAAAAGTGGGGGGAAACTATTCTGCACCCCGTGCAACTGTGTGTTGGAGCATAAGAGAAAATCGACGGGGACGACCCACTTTGATTCATTCAAACATTCGAAAATGCTTTCTGCTGCTGCGGACAAGAAAGCCAAACAACTCACGTTCAGCGAGGCATCAAACTCCAAAACCCTTTCGAGGGCTACAAGAAACGAAGTGGAGGTAGCCTACAGATTGAAGCTGGTCCAGATAACCGAACGAGTAAATGAACAACGGAATGAGGCGGAGAAGGTGTGTGTGGTGTGTGGTGTGTTGTGGGGGGGGGGGGGGGTGTGTGTGTGTGGAGATTAAAAAGCCAATTGCCTTTTAACAATGAAATAAACAGTTGAATGTGTAATTGAATAGTAAAGTGGTTTAACGTTAGTGGCCAGGTTGTGTGTGAGAGAGAAGATAAATAAGACCAGCCCAATATTAAACAAAGTTATTTTATTCCTTTTTTTCCGCCATATATTTTCGCAACTTTCCGCATATTTCGCCAACTTCGCCGCAATGTTCACCGCATAAAATCACATAAAAACCCCGCATGTTTAATCGCATAATCAAGGATTTTAGGCCCGCATAATCAAGAATCTTAGCCCGCATATAAAGGATTTTGCCCCGCCGTTTTTCTGGAGGGTCTAAGGTAGCTGTGTGTGTGTATGACTCAATTCAAAGAAACTCTATGAGGAATATTACTCGCTTCTTAAGTTGTACTATTGAACCTTCAGCTTCACCAAAACATTTTAGATTTTGAGAAAAGCTTGTCAAATTTTGGTAGGCTAGCTGCTTGGCGTAAAGTGTTTCCAAAGGGAATCCTATGAGATAACATACACCAATATACAATTTGAGTTTATATTATTTTTATACGAAAAAAATGGCTCCCTGATATGATTTTCTGAGATTAACACACAGTTTTGTAGTTCCCCTGACAAAAAATACACTGTTTTTAAAGATTTCT